CACCATTATTGTTATTATTATTCGCATGAGCTGCTGTTGACGTTATTCGATTGTTTGTCGCAGGTAATGCTAATGAAGATGAACTTAACAATGGAGGTTTCGGTGATGTAGGCGATAATGGTGTTATTGTTGGAGATTTAGGAGAAAGCGGGAATTGAGGTGTTGTAGGAGAATTACGTAAAGATGCAGGAGGTGTTGCTATATTATCAACTTTTAATTGTCTATTGAATAAACCTAAAATACTCATACCAATTTTATGTGTCTTTGTTACATTAATAGATGGAGAGGGTAAAGGTGTCAGTGTTGGTGTTGATGTCGGTGACGATGACAATGTTGGTGTTGGTGTCGGTGTTGATGTTGTTGTATGACTTTCTAAATTATCATTATTAATTTGGATAGTATTTTTACTAGTATTTTTTTCAAATTCTTCGGTAGGCGTAGTTTTTGTTTGTGTTGTAAATTGTGATGATGGAGATGTAGTATTTACAGATGTTGGATAAAGTTTTGATGAATTAGTAGAAGATTTATCATCTATAACAGAAACTTTTATGGTTGGTGAAAGATGATGAAAGCTTGATGATGGTTTTGCTGTTATTGTTGTTGAATCATTGATATTAGTAGGTGGAGATAATGATGATGATTCTTCCAATGATATTTGTGATATTTCCAATATTTCATCATTGTCGTCATTATTTACATTATCATTAACTCTATCATTCTCATTCCCGTTGTCATTGTCATTGTCATTATCATCACCTATAACATTGCTATTGTTATTATTATTACCAGATATATCAATAGATTTTTTTCCTTCCTTTTCACGTCTACGCCTTTCACGTCTTGCTTCTCTGTCTTCTAATTTAGCGTTACTACCTTTCCTTGTTTTACGTCTTCTTGGTGGTTTTAGGTTAATATTATTATGTGATATTGTTGTTACAGGGATATTGTTGTTGGTGATTGGAGCTCCGCCAAAAGATAATAGTAAACTTTGTTCTAGTAATTGACGCCTGAATATTTGAGAAGCACGATTCCCTTGGGGCAGTATAATTGATTCACGCTTTTGTTTGCGTTCTTGATCTTGATTTTTTTGTTGTAATTCGTTATTATTATTAATTTGTGAAAAACGAAATGTATCAGAAGATAAAATACTAGATGGAGGTTTTCTTGGATTGCAAGTTTGTAATATAATACGAGAAGCCATGTTGATATGAGTAGAAATTTTTCTAGAGTGTCTATTTGAATGATTTGATAAATGTCTTTTATGTTTTGATAAAGGAATAAGCGATGCATGGATAAGTTTTGGAGGATGAGGAGGACCTGGTAACCAAGGATGTACTTGAATCTTTAATGGAGGCAGATCGGCATCCATATCAGTTGGATCATTTGTTGAAAATGGATTTGAAGTTGGAGCAGGCTCCAGAACTTTATTTCCTTTTAACGATTTCGATTTATACTTTTTTACATTAGAACGTTTAAGTTGAGAGATGGGATGTTTTGAGTTATTTACATCTTGTGGTTGTTGCTGTTGTTGACGATTTCTTCTCGTGATATTTTTATTTTTTTTATCTTCATTTAATGAAAATCTTTTTAATTTTTGTTGAATTTGTTGTTGTTCGTTCAAGCTTTTATTAGTAATGTTAAAAGAAACTCTGCGTTTGTCTGATTGATCATCAACATTTGATTTTGAAACTTGATTATCATTATCATGATCTTGTAATGATGAATCTTTTTGACTTTCATTATCACCAACTTGAACAACTTTAACTGTTGTAACAACAATTCCACTAAAGCTTGATCTTTTTTCTGTATTACTATTATTACCATTATTGGTATTATTATTTGAATTTATAAATTTTGATTCATCGTCATTGTTATTCACATTGTTTGTTATAGTTGTATTGTCATTAATTGAAACTGACATTACAAATTCAATGTTTTGTTTTAAACTAAATTATAATAATTAAATATTAATCTTTGACTAATAATAGTACATAATAATCATAACAAGGAAAAATTACTTACCTTTTTTCTTCGGAAAAATTTCAAAGAAATCGATTGGCTTGAATCTAAAAAGATTAAAAAAACTATAATAGAGAAAATTAAAAATTAAGGAATTAATGTTAAAATTAATCTTTTTTTTTGATTGATGAATATTATCATCATCTATCCGTAATTCTTTATATTTCAATTTAAGTAATTTGTGAAAATCACAGACTTTTTTCTCTATAAAATAAAAAAAGGATACGATAGTTGTTTGATGAATGAATAAAGATGGTATGATATTCTTTGTTTTTTAAATTTATAATAAAAAAAGGTATAAATGAGTGAAATTTTCAATATTCCGCGAATATTTTTTATGAAAAAGAAAAGGAGGATACAAAAATAAAAAAAATAGAAAATTCAATTGTGTTTAATTTAAAACTAATAGAGTTTGAATTTAAAAATTGACGCACAACATTTAAAAGCGAACAAATATAATTTATGTAATACAAGGAATAATTTGTTACACTATTAATATGACGTGAATATCTTTTCATAATAAAGATAATTAAAAGTATCACATAAAATATAATTAATCCTAACCACAAAGAGGCAAAATTGTAGTAGGTGATATTGACGCCTTAAAGGAAAATATCCTGAAAAGTCAATGTTATTGAAATAACTATCAGAGAAAGATCCTTGCATTTAAAAGATTTTGTAAATCTTCAAAGATTAAATTCTCATTAGGGTTATTCAAAGGCAAAATTATTAGTATAGATAGATATAAGTAATTGCCCTAATTTAGATGTCTATCATATAACAATAGCTAGTTTAGACATTAATAATTTGTTGTGGAAATCTGCACATTATTCTAGATTCAATTTAAAAATTTTATTTTGCTCATGAAATAATAGAGCGGATTTGGACCTAAGCAAGAGCAGGAGGGAGTCTATATAAACTTAATTGTCACAAGGTAAATACCATCTAATATAAAAAGGAAAGGAAAGTGACCATGTTAAGCCTGATGGTAAAACCAAAGAACACATTATATTGAGTTACTAAAAAAACGCAGAGCAAAAGATAAACATTTCATATTAATATAAACCAAAGAAAGTTATTTTGTAATAGGAGGAGTATTTATAACAAATTTGCTAGTTACCAAGAAAAGGAAGGTTTTCTAAGAATTCAACTATAAAATTTAAAGTAGAGGTCTGCACGTGCCATCAAAATTGTTTCTGGCCCTGTTACACGAAAAAACACAATTGTCTGTATTAATCTGTACTAACTCGAAACATAATAAATTATTTGTTTATTATTAATAAAGGCGTAAGTAACCAATTATTATTCCACAGAAATTACTGGTGCCATTTTATCTAAATAACTAGATGACAGAACCTTTAACATGTATAAGTATGTTGTAAATTTCTTTTCTTCATATAATCTTCAGTTCAGTTAGTTTTATCTTTATCTTGTAACAACCATAATATCTTAATAAAATGCGAACATAAATTAGCCTATCAAGTTCTAACCTGGCTTCCACTAGATCAAGTTTCCCAATTTTAATGATGAATGAATTTATTCATCATCAAGACCAAATTTTGTGTCTTTTTTTATGAGATTCCAAGTTGAAGAACAAAAAAATCTTTGATTATTGATGTTTGTTGTGACCAATATTCCTCTGTGAATTAAGATGCAATGGAGTTTAAATGTGATATTCTTTTTTTATGGCTATTACAGCTGTACTTTACTTACCCAGTTTTGTACACTTTTAAAATTGAATGCATATCAACTTTATTTATTATTAAGTCATATTTCTAAATGGAGTATGTCAGTAAAATTTAGTAAAGCAAGTTATAAAAGCCTTATAAATTCTGACTTTTACCCCAATGGATTATCTTATTCATTTCTATTAAAGATGGCTCCGCAACTAGGAAGTTGCAACCCAAAAAAATATTGACATCTAATGCTGCAACTGCTGTAAGTCTGCAATTGCTGCAACTGTCTGCAACCTCTGGTTGGTCAGCTACTTCAATCAATATAAAACTAAATTATTTTTCTCAAAAAAAAATTTTTAATTAATGATTATATTTATTGGCCTTGCACAAATTAAAATTAGACTGATTGGTAATTTTAATCCTACAAATTTTAATCATGTTAATTGTATGTTGATTAGAAATTATTGTTTTATTCTTTTTTTTTTATATGATGATGACAATTTTCTAGATATATAAGAATATAGTGGAGGTTGCCTCAATGAAGATGGTGAATACAAAATGTCAGCTGCAGACAATAATAATAGTGATAGCATCATAGTTGACTTTCTTTTTGTATGTGTTACAATAAATAAGTGTGTGCACTTGCTATTGCTATTGCCAATTGCTAGTTTATATATGTATTAGTATGTTAAGGAAAACCCGTTGTTCTCAAAAAAAAATTACACTCTAAAAACACCAAGTAAAATTTTTATATAATGTCACATGCTAAACTATCGTCATTGTTATCACTAGAAAGAGAGGAATTTGTATATAAAATTCATGGTGAAATGCATAGTAATGCAACAGTTAATTCTGATGAAGAAAGTAGGAAAGATTATTTTTTTCATTAGGAGCTTTCTGAAAATGAAAAAGAATATTGTAAAGAAGAGTTTATTTATGATATTGAATTAAGAAATGCAACTTATAAATCTGGTCAACCAAAAGAATGTAACAAGTGCAAATTGACAAGTTACTCTGATAGGTTCTGTGAAGGTTGCATTAGTTTACAATTACAGAGTCTTTACACCACATGGACATCTGGAAATAACATAATTGATGATTTTATTCAACAATGTCAAATGAAATCATCTCTGCCAAAATATATTTTAGAATGGATACCTTTTGAGCAATTTAAAAAAGTAACAAAATTGACAGAAGGTGGATTTAGTTCAATTTATACTGCTACATGGACAAGAGGACAAATAATTGATTATGATGAAAGTAAAAAGGAATTTAGTTATTTAGGAGGAGGGCAATTAGTAGTATTAAAAAGTTTAAATGATTCAAGTAATCTAGGAAAAGGCTTTTTTGATGAGGTTGGTAATTGTCATTTATAAACAATGTTCTATTATATATTACTAATTGATTTTATATTTAATTACGGGCAGTAAATTATTTTGAAATTAAATCACATATGATTGTTCCTTGCTATGGTATAACTAAATTCCCAGATAATGGAAACTATGCAATATTTTTAACTTATGCAAATGAAAATTTAAGGGATTACTTGAAAAAAAATTATTCAAATTTAACATTAAAAGACAGAATTGTAATCTTTTATTATTTATGTATTGCATTATATGCTATACATGGAAAAGATTTAGTCCATTGTGATTTACATAGTGGTAATATACTTGTGGAAGGAGGTGGTTGTTATATTACAGATTTAGGATTGTGTGGGCCAGTTGATGAAAAGTCATCAAATAAAGTCTATGGAATTGTATCATATACTGCACCCGAACTACTTAGAGCAAAAGAACACAAAAGAAACAGATATCTATAGTGTTGGATGTTAATGTGGAAATATTTGCAGGACATCCACCATTTGATGATAGGGGTCACAATCATCGTTTGATTTTTGATATATGTGAAGTTTACGACCACCAATATTATCTGAAATGTCTGATGATTATGCGCAAATGATGCAGAGATGTTGGGATGTGGATCCATCAAAAAGGCCAACTGGTAATGACCTGTTTGATTTTGTTTATAATAAACGTAATAAAATTATTAAAAAATGATAATAATAATAGTAATACTACTACTATTAGCGGTGGTAGTAGTGCTTCGCAACAAGCACACAAATCACACCCAGATGCATATCATAAAAGTAGAATATTAGATGAAGAGATTGCTAAATCTAAAGGTTTAAAATTTTATACAAGTAATGATAGCTCGTTAAATAATCTTGATTTCAACTCTTTTCTCTAAAATGTCAACAAAGGTGAATAAAATTTTCATTATTAATTGGAAATTATCATCCATCAACTATTTTTTGATTCTTGTTATAATAAAATAAAGGGCTGTTGTATGTGAAATTGAAATCTATAATTAAAATTTCGGGGTGGGGTGTTTGGAAACATCTGATTAGTACACGTATTAAATAATTATAATACTAATACACATTACACACTTTCTATAACGAACCTTTGGGTTGGGCTAAAAAAGTTCGTTATAGGGGATTTGTTAAAAAAAATTTAATGCTTATGATCATGATCATGATCACGATAAGGATCATGTTAAGGAGGATAAGAAACTGATAATGAAGTGATCAATGATCAAAAGATTTACATATAACGCGATCGATTTTGTGAAATACAAATTATTTAAAAAAAATATCTAATGTTGATTGTTGATTTGAATCAATTTCTATTTTTTTTTTAAAAAATTTTCTTTTAATGGTTTAATTTCATTGTTGCTTAGTTGCAACTTTTCGGATTGTTGGCTAATGTATATGTTTAATTTCTCTATTGCTAATATGGAAACCCTTCAATGACTTCTTCTTGATTTTGCTCATTTGGAGTAATCATTAAAATTATTTCGGGGCCCTTTTCAGTATCACCAATCATGATGTATTTAGATGTAGATATAGGATTAGTGGACATCAATATTAAAAAAATTAACACAAGATAATCTGATATACGATCATCAGTTCGTTATAGACAGATGTAGATGATGATTTTTCTGAAAAAGTTCGTTATACAGTATAGAAAATTTAATTAATAAATTAGAGATTTTTTAAAATAGTAAAAAATCGGGCTTAAATCTCATATAGCGCGAATTGCAAATTCACGCAAATTTCATATTCACGCACAACTTACCCATGAACTAGAGGCACTATGCTACAAACTGTATTCAAAAACGAAAAGATATCTCTCTTTTCATGGACTAGTTATATTACGAGAGTATGTATGTATTTTTATTATTATTTCTTTTTACTTTGTCAATCGATCGCTAAAAAGATTGACATTATGTAGCCATAATAATAATAATAACGTCTGCCAATAAGTTATTATCGCGAAATTTCTAATTAAGGCTTAAGTAAAACCATATATTAAAATTTTCAAACCCAGAAAACAAAATATTCTGATTGGTTTTTTTTTTTCATTAAAAAAAAAAATAAAAAATTAATAATGTGTGCATCTTGCATTTTTAATATATTACGTGAATTAATAATATGTTTTAAAAATAGTTATGACTTATTATTCTGATAATAATAATAGTAATAATGTAATTAATGTTGAAACCAAAAGTGGAGTAAAACATCCTCCAATAAAACGGGATCTACGAACCGAGTTTGTTATTTTTAACTCGAATGATCAACCCTAATACTAACTCAAATAGGACCCCGGATTATTATAATTGAGATAACACCTTAGGCCATTAGAAATTTTTACCCTTTTAAGCATGTAATATTTTCCTCCTTTTAACCATTTTAGCAAAAGCTTTACCCATATAAAACATATGTAACCATTGAAAAAAATTTATCCGATGTATTTTTATCTAAAGTTCTTGATAAACTCAATATAATCAATAAAATAATCTAGTATTAGTAATAGCAGGGTCATTAGAAAATTTACTTAAAACGGAAAAGGACACAAAACCTTCTATATCGATTATAAAATTACAATTTAATCCTTGCCTATTTTTCTATTTTTAAAATTTACTTTATCCATAATTTCATATATAATAATAAATTTCCTGGAACAAATACAGTCAAACCTCGTCACAACGAACCTCGTCACAGCGGATTTCTTGTTACAACGGATTTAAATTTTGTTCCCTTTTTTACTAATTAAAAATATTTGTCACAGCGGATTTTATTAATATTAATATTAATATTAATAAATTCGTGTCACAGTGTTAACGGATTTTGATTGGGAACCTTCTATATTTCTATGACTACTAATCTTACCACAGCGGATTCACGTGACATAGAAATTTATAAAATTATCCGAATTACTAAAATAGGCAACAAAATTTGTTTTAATTTACAGATTTAATTAAATACTAATACGGATTATTTGATCAAGTAACAAAATTTTCCAGATTTATAAAATAATTTATCGAATGCTTGCGAGTAACAATATTTTTTAAGTTTCTAAAATAATTTATCAAATGCTTGCGAGTAACAAATAATTAAATAGATTGTATGTTCAAATATTTGCAAATAACAAAATCCCAAGTTTCCAAATAAATGACTGAAAGTTTTTAGACAATAAAACGAACAGGATTTATTATCCTTCTCCAAAGATCAAAATTTCAAAATGCTATATTTAAAAAATTTTTTTGTCAATCATGATCATCACCATAGCGGATTTCTTGTCACAACGTATTTTTTTGGCTGGTCCCATCAATCCGCTGTGACGAGGTTTGACTGTGTATCCGTTAAACCGAGACTCGCAATGATCATCATCACCATTTTCGTCGAGTTTCAGAGTTTTTTAATTAAAATTTTTCTAAAATTTTCATCAAAACCTAAGCGTGTTTTGTCCAGGTGTGTATGATAAAGATGCTAAAAAATCTGCACATAATATTTTATTATATTGATATAACATATGTTTGATAGAACATCACAGTAAAGTGTTTCACTCACTTGTTAATATTGAATCAAAAAGTATAAATATAACAAACGCCGTTTGCATATTCTTATTATACAAATCAAAACAATAATTCCTTTTGCTTCTTTACACATCAAAAATCTCGGGAGTTCATAAAAACCATAAAATAGATATAACAAAACTCTTATTTGATTTCAAATATAGAGTTTAGAAACTACCAAAAGATTTCTTCAACTTAGTTTTGAAACAAGCACAACTTTTGTCAAAGTAGTCTTGACCAAAACTACATTAATTTACATTTATCGCGCCTCTTCAAATTTCAGCAATGAAACGAATTCTTTCGAACACGCTCTTCGCAGCATTCTTATTTAGCACCTTGATTAATGCAGCTTACGTCAACTCTGGAAGAGGACTACTCTTCAAAAGACAAGGTTCGTGTGTCCTAAATTATCATAAAAAAAAGTCAACAAATAAATTTTTTTCTTTTTTAAAAGCTCCTCTTTTAAATCTTTATTAATCATGCACATTTATTTAGCCCTTAACATCGGAGACTCATGCATAAGGGATACTCAATGTGCTTCTGGTATTTGTTCCGGTACATGCAAAGATTCCGATAATCGTCCTGATGGAGAACGTTGTGAAGTAAATGAAGCATGCGGAAGCCAAAATTGTGATCGTTTCTGTTTTACTCCCAAAGGTACCGTTAAATTAAATTTTTTTCTTTTCAGAAAGCTCCAATTTCAAATCTTTATTAATAATGCACATTTATCAGATAATGGACAATCATGCGGAGGGGATTCTGAATGTGTTTCTAGTATTTGTAGCTCCGGTACATGCAAAGATTCCGATGATCGTCCTGCTGGAGAACGTTGTAAAGTAAAAGAAGCATGCGAAAGCAAAAATTGTGACCGCTTCTGTGTTGGTATCGAAAACAGCAAATGTGGTCTAGATATTGACTGTGGTTCACTTGTTTGCCGCAAGAGTGATAATACATGCCAGAGTCTAAATACACGTGAAGATGGAATAGAATGCGCAAAAGATGCGGCTTGTAAATCTTCAATTTGCGTTGATTTTTCTGAGTGCAGGAGTAGTGATGATCGTGGTGAAGATGCCGAGTGCTTAAACAATAAAGCATGCAAAAGTGGGTTATGCACCCCGAATGGTTGTGCAAAATAGATTGTAATTTCTATGATTACGCATTTTATATGTAACAATTGATTAGATTATTATCAATTTACTTGATTAATCAATAACTAAAACACAATAACCTGAACTCTTTCTTGAATCTCCTTATTGATTATTCATGCATTTTACCTCTTCTTTCTGTAATTTCCGTATTAGTATTAGCATGTTTTATATACGGGAATATTTTTTGTATCTTTTTTTTTAATTGGAAAATAAAACCTAAAAAATACAAACAAATAAATCAAAGATGTAATCCAAAATAAATAACTTTATCCAACAATATCAAAAAGAAATAAACCTTGCCAAAATATATTTTGAATAATGATACCTTTTGAGCAATTTGAAAAGGTAGGTAACAAATTAATTGAAGGTGGATTTAGTTCAATTTATACTGCTTCATGGACAAAAGGAATTATTAATGATTATGATAGGAATTTAGTTATTTTGGAGCACAAGATGTAATATTAAAAAGTTTTAAATGATTCAAGTAATCCAGGAAAAGGCTTTATGAGGTTGATGGTTGTCATTTAAAGCAAAAATAAATAATGCTGTATAATGTTTCATATTGCAATCCCAAAAAGGAAATGTCGCAGTGAGTAACCTTAACACTGTATTATATGATTTTATATTTATTTTCAGACAATCACAAGTAGAGGTTGGAACACCGGTTCTATACAATCGTATTTAAAACCGGGTTTATTCCGCAAAATCCGGTTTTAATAAAGCTGGTTGAACTAGTAAACCATATCTAATATGACATAAAAATTGATTTATAATAAAAATATTCTACTATACCCAAAATAGTCACACCATTTATTAAGTATATAACTTTCAGCAAAAACTTACCAAAATCGGATGCCACATCAAATACAGTATTAGTTATTCGAAACTCAATCGGCGGAACCGGAGTGCGCAGTAGGTTACACGAAAATTTTGATTTTGTCAGTTTTATTATTAAACAAAAACTAACTCCTCTCCACATAATAATAAACAAAAATCTAACAACAAATAAATAAATAATAAATTATGATTATGACAATAAATTGATAATAAATTATGATTATGACAATAAATTGATAATTAATTATTATTATGACAATAAATTAATAATAAATTATTATTATTTTAAAAATTAAAATTATTCCGTTTTATATTCCGCGTAACAAACATTGAAGATTCATTTCGCAGAAACAGATTTTATTGATTTCTGGAAAACCATTTTTGATTCAAATAAGGATTTTTCATTTAATTATAATCTTCTAGTTAAAATAGCAATTATTATTCTCTTTCAAATGCTAATGTTGAAAGAATATTTTCTCAAACAAAATTAAAAAAATAAGGAACAAAATGAATAATTAATACATTAAATAAAAAAAAATTTTTTTTTTGCAAATCGAATTTGGATTCGATCTTATAGAAAATCCCTACTATAAAAGTATAAGATAAGTAAGACACCCTTTTTAGCATAAGATAGTCATATTTCTACCCAATCAAAATAAAGAGAGTGGTGTGGTAACACACGAAATCTTGTTTGTAGAATTCGGAGACTCTCTTCGCTTGCAACTTCTTTTAGATGATCCTTTTAATAATGGTTTATATGGCACATATAATAAACCGGTAAGAGAGACTTTATGTGTATTTCAAGATAGGTCTGAATTTAGACTAGATCAATGGATGTGTCAAGATTTAGAAAGTGAGTTGACAAAAGCTAGAGAAGCAATTGCAAAGTTTTTTAATGCGGTCACAATGGAATAATAATATTTATACAAAATGCTCAATTATAATTGTTTGCCAAAATTGATTTTGGAAAATAATTATGCTATTTGATTTATTTAATTTCGGATATAATTTCAGCAAATATTAATATTAAAATTAATTACGGCTACTATGGAAACCCATTTCGGCATTTCAGAGCAACAAACATTCAGAGAGTGTGTGGTGTTGCCATGTGGATTTGAAACTCACATATGTGAAAATTAAATAATTTTATATCACAACGAACAGAGTAGGGAGACAAGGTTTGCTTGATTGACTAATAAAATGCAATAAAAACAAAAAATACTGGATTGAATCAAATTAATTATTTTATTTTTTCTTTTCTGCCGTCTACAATTCTGTGAGAGGGAGAAATATTGATGAATATTTAATTTCCAAAATTGAAATTTTAAGAATTAACCCCACAAAAGGCTTAGATATTCAATTTCTTATTTTGTCAAATCATTCATTTTAAAAACGTACTCATTTTTCACAACGCAGATTTCCATATTCTCAAACACGCTTTTTCTTCCCGTTGTCACACGAAACCGAAAGTAAGTTTTTTTCAAACCAGCCACGCCTATCTTTAATTTTAGTTAAATTAAATTTATAAAAAGTAATTTTTATAATGAATATAATAAAAAATCATCCTTTTACATTTATACTAATTACTGTAATCAAATTTATTATTGACAAAGACAAAAGAGATTGGCATGATATTAATATATCTTTCACCCTAATTTAAAAATAGGTAGCATTTATTTAAAATGATATCATTCACTCAATTTGACTGAAAATAATAAGTTAATAAAATATCACTTCCTGCATTCTTTATACTGCACATAAATTCTATTTTAAAAAAAAATAACGTGAAAATTAAAAGTTTTTTTCCTTTAAAAAACATACAGTTTTCAACCAATAGAAAGCCAAACCAGTTTCGATTAAGAAACTAACTTTTACATATTAATAACAATAAGAATTATAATTGGTCAAACAGGAGCCGAGTGACAAAGAATTTCTTTTAGATAGCGTGTAACATACATAATTTAAGTGTGATGTCTCAAAATGATCTACAAGTCTGGACGATTTTCCAGTTTAAAATTATTAATAATAATATGTAATATTGTATAAACACACGTAAATATTAATAATATTAATAAAATATGTGTGATCAAATAAATAAATAAATAAATACATAACTCGTAAAAACTTGATTTTTTTCTTATATTTCATAAAAACAATCATATTCATTCACATATTCGTTCATTACTAAATCATCGTCACATAAAGAAAGTAGTATAAAGTAAAAAAAAGTAAAGCAAATATTTTTTGTTTTTTGTTTTTTCGTGTTTACTGTTACATGTTACATCCGCGTGATTTGTAAGGTGGCACATTAAAATCTAATACCTAATTTGGTAACCAATTTACAAAAATAAATTGTATATAAATATATAGTGTACTTTTTTTTTCCAACATTTTAATTACTGATAAAATTTCAAAATTTTAAAATGTTGAACGAATTTAATGAATTAAATTTAGATATTTTAGTGCCAAATGGCGTTTTTCAATGTAAAGAAGATGAAATTGACAAATTATTTAACGCTGAACAAAGAACTCAAGCTTATTATGGTCAATATTAAAAAAAATTTCTTTTTCAAAGATAAAAAAAAGCGATAGAAAATAATATCGAATTTTTTATTTTTAGATGAATTTCTTCATTTATACCTCCTTCTAACTTTGCCACCAAACTCAAACGTAAATTCTAAAAGTTCTGCTTTGGAATTATTTCAACAATTCGATATTTCGGTCGAAGCATCAATTGTCGATGAAAGTTTGATGGTGATGCCTAAAAATACTCTTCCACCCGTATATCGTTTACCACCAGTAACTACTAATGATACCATCAATAATAATAATAATAATACAATAATAACAGGAACTTCAAATAATACTAGTAGTAATACTAGTAGTACTAGTTCATCTGTTACAACTAATTCTACAACTAACAATAATAGTAGTAGTGATTCACGTTCAACCGTTACATCACCCACAGTACCTACACCACCGTTGATGGATACGAAAACTATTAAAGCTCCTGAAGGAACTTTGATATTTTATTATAATTACAATCCAAAAAACAAAGATAAACAAATGGTGGTTGTTCAAAGAAACGAATGTTGGAGCTGTGTTGTACCATTAAGCGTGCCTGTGGGTAAGATCATATTTATATATGTGATATATGTGATCACGATTTTTGATTATGATTTGAAAGTATTTATTCATTATATTTATTTAAGCATCATTCTCAAAATACGCATGCGCACCTTACTCATTAATTATAACTTGATCTTTTTTAGTTTATGTAAAGACTCACGTACAATCACCAGCATTATCACTTGGTGTTTTCGTTAGACAAAAACCAAAACCAGTAGATTCATTAAACAACAAATCTGATTCAGATTATTATATATCATCGGAAAATTATGGTTTAATGAATTTATTAGGAGGTTTAAAAGATGGTCAGTCAATAAATTTGTTATTGTTATTGTTGTTATTCTTATGATAAACAATATAATAACTTATCTCTTATTCATATTTTATTAGATCCAACATTCGAATCGCCAAGTTTCAATGTATCACCAAAAAATTTAATTTTAAATCATAATGATATAAAAAGAAGCAGTTCATCTTCATCAACATTTTCAAATCAATCAACTAAACGTTCAGTTCGTAAAATATTATCAGTTAAAGCTGCCTTAAATGTTAAAATGAGAACAACAAGTATTTCGCCCTTAGACAATATGTTGATGATGTCTGTAGAATTGGAAAATAATTCAGAAACAAAGAATTCATTTTCAATAGAATCCATTAATGTACATATTGTAAATGGATTTATAAAAAGATACGAATGGAATCCTGACGACGACAGTAAAGTAAATTATCATCATTATTATATATTATATATATATAGTGATAGTTAATTTATATATTAAACTATTTTTCTTTTATTATTATTATTTATAACAATAAAGGAAAATTTTCCTTTAACTCTTCAACCAGTTGATCAAACAACTTTTCTGTACAGTATCACAATACTTGAAAATCCGATATTTCCAAAATTTAATCCACAATATTTCCCATCACCACAACCAAACTCTAATAATCAATTGGTACGAAAATTTTCAATAACACCGCCAACCAATCCATATTTAAACAATAATCCAAATTCATCATATCCTGTGACCGAGGAAAAACAACGACATTTATCAATAACTGTTAAAGGGTGTCCGATAATCGATGGTAAAAAAAATCGGTTAATTGAATCAAGATGGAACTGTATGCTGGATTTAACCAACTTGTTAAAAAAAGATGATTCTTTGCCTCCTCCTCAACAATTACCAAACAATTTTATTAAAAATTATAACAATAATTATAATCATAATAACAACAATAATAACAAATCTCGTAATATGTCAATGCAATTAAATTCAAGATATTCTATGATTAGCAATAATTATAATTATAATCAGAATAGTAATTTTTCAACCCCTGGAACAACTAGATCTTCTAGAAGCAATACAATATTTTTGCCAACTGGCGTGTCTACTCCAACTGCTTCAAAATCTTCTTATAATATAACGAATAATAAAAAAAATGGTATAATATCTAAATTAAAAAATATACCTGAAAATCCTGGAATCCGTCACAACAATCACAACAATATTGATAGCAGGAGCATTAATAATAACAGCCACAATAATAATCATAAAGAAGCTAATGATGGTGTAGTTGTATCATTCTTGGGTAAGAATGATTAAATAATAATTTATGTTATTAATACTAATAAAATTAAGAAATTTTATTAATCCGATTTTACTTTATTTCTCCAATATTCAAAAAAACCAAATATACAAAATATAGTGAGTCCAAAAGTTATTGTAGGAAAAGTATTTACTTTAAATGTCTTCATATTAAACAAATCAAAACATCCAAGAAAATTCACTATAATTATACCTAATAAAAGAAGACCTAATGATAGGTAAATGATTATAATAATTATAAAATAATACATTTAATAAAAAAATTATTATTAATTTTTGTTGGCAATTTTTAATTAACAGAGCAATCCAAAATTTAACAAATTCAGCACTAAATTCAAAAATATCGTCTTTGCCTTTAAATAATACTAATGTTAATGACATTCAATCGACTAATCCGATTGAACCTTATATGGATGAAACAGGTAAAAAAAAAAATGATATTATTATTTATAAATCTATTCATATAATTGTGTGTATTTATTTTTTTTATTCCTTTTAAGATTTTATTAAAAAAAGTTTAGAACACGAAACTTCTGATGCTGACGTTATATGTTTGGAAAATAATGTTAGAATTGGGTGAGTGAAATTTTCAAATTTTCTTTGTAAATTTTTTTCTCCCAAAAATTTTTTTCATAATAAATATTTATGATTATATAGACCATTGAATCCTTCAACGTGTGAATCAGTCACATTACATTTTATCGCAGTAAAAGAATCTTTACATTCAATAGAATTGATACAATTGGTCGATGATGATACTGGATTCATTACTAATTTACGCAATGTGCTTGATGTATACGTTAGTCGAGGTTATTACGACAATAAGAATTATGTATCAAAAGTTGCTACTCATATAGAAGTTACAGGTTAAAAAAATATATTTTATATTTTACTATCATGTATAGTAAATATGTATGTATGTATGTATATTTTTTTAGATTTTTTTTTTTTTAATAGAGTTAATTTTTAATGTTTTAAGTTTATTTTTTGTGTTTTAGTAATGTAAAAAATATTTTGGAGGGGAAGGGAATTTATATAAAATTAAAATTAAATCTTTTTATTATTAATTATTATTTTTATTATAATTATTATTATTAATTATTTACTACTACTATTATTATTATTAATTATTATTATTAATTATTATTGTTATGATTGTTATTATTGTTATATTATTGATTAATAAACGATTATACGTCAAAGAAACAATATTTTTTGTTTCTGAAATTTTGATTAACATTTTATGCTTTTGGTGGATGCAAAGAATCTTTTCTGGTGTTTAGTTGTGAGTGAACTTGGGGACCAGATACACACACTCTAGTCGTAATTCTAAATAAAATAATATAAATAATATAAAAATGTAAAAATAAAATTTTGCAAGTATAAAAATTATTATTGTATAAAATTAATTATGTTGCAATGCTCTCGTCCCTTTTATCTGTATCTACTTGACACAATTTAAAAACGAAATCCATGACGACTTCAATTTCATTGATATACTTCTTTCTAATCAATTTAAACATAATGAAACCTAGGGCACCTTTCCGTTATATCAACATAAAGCTGATTAAATTCGCTTGTTTTTCTTCCTCTTCTTTAACCCTTACACGATTATTCAATTCCATGGATATTTTGTGACAGTGCATAATAATTTGCTATTCCAAATGACCAAATGTCGTATATCTGCCGTCGACACCAAGATTCTATCTTTGAGTACTTTGACAAGTTCAGGCGCAACATAAGAAGGTGACTCAACTAAAGCTGTGTTGATTTGTTTCATATAATCACCCGTGTTATCGGATTTTTCTATTGCCGAAATCGATTAACTAATTATAACACTACTAGAATTAGAATCCGTGAACGTGATGTTATTATTATCAGGTTTATAATGTATTGTATATTTTATTGTATTTTTAAAAAGTTACATAGATATATATATCTAACTGAATATATAAAAAAATTTAAAACCATAATAAATTGTATCTTGCTTTTATAGCCGAACAAATTTGGAAAGCCAGTGTTGGAAATTTATGAAACCATCTAATGATCTCATATAGGTTTCAAGGTTTCCACAAAGATAAGGTAAGACGATTATCGTCAACGCAATCATCAACCACCTTTACAATATTCTCGTGGCCCAATAATTTCAAAATATTAATTTCATCTTTGTCGTTAACGCTGATAATTTTAGCAACACAAATAGTGTCATCATGATTAATATTTAATCTAATTTTTTCAACAATGCATGATGAACCAGTTCTATCATTGCCATCTTCGTCATTTACAACATGATATCTTTCTTTTATTTGAGCAGGTAAACAATTCTAATTTGATTTTCAAAGTCAATTTTTGGAGCCCTCAATAAATAATTTGAAAGGGCAGGGTTTGGGTGATCGGTGATCTGAAACCTAATCGGACCGAACCACCCCGAAATAATCTAGTAAATTGTAATACGTTGATGATATTGCAATTACGCTTGAACTTAAAATATTTGATAATAGATTCTTGTCAGGGCACTGACACATATTAGCTAATATCGTTTTAGTAGAAGTGCTTACTCCCCCACCCCCAGGTAAGACATTTTGATCACGTGTATGACAATAATTTGCCTTTTTAGGTAACAACAAAGCACAAGCAAAAAAAAATGAATTAATTTTATTAATAAATCAAACATTTTAAAAGCAACATTGGAGTAAAAAAACTTTCCTTTATAATATATTATGATCTCTTGGAATTCCTGGGTATGATTTGCATCGGCTATTTCTTGACAAAACAACCTATTTGGTTCTGAGTGTAATAACTTACTTATTTGAAAATTGCAAACAATGTATCCTGCTAAAGGAAAATCCAAAGAACAAAACTCAAGGATTCTTGATGATTTCTCTCTTCTCAATCACAACAAAAGTGTCCTCTTTTTGACAAAATATATTTAAGAAATGTATATCAGATAAAGAATGATCGATTATAGCATTTATGTATATATGAGATGTGAGAATTTTATAATATTAATTGCCATATCATCCTGTAGACAAAAAGTGTAATACAATTTTTTGTGTAAATGTCAATTGGTTTACATGTCGATCATTTCCAAATTAATACACTTACATTCAAGCGGACGATTTCCGAAAGGTTACACCTATATCCCTGTGAACATAGGGATACAGCTTTTACCTTCATAATCACATATGAGGGATATCCTTATATACTGATCACTGGTAATTAATTAATATATAATAAATAAAGGAGTCAGAGACATTTATGTCTTCAAATATTATAAAAATATACACAAGCTGGAGACAATAATGTCTTCAAATACAATTAGGATATATGTAAGCTGAAGACATTAATGTCTTTGAGTACAATTAGGATATATGTAAGCTGAAGATATTAATGTCTTTGAACACAATAATGATACACATGAAGTTGGAGACATTGATGTCTTCAAATACAAATAATGATGTGTGTGTGTGGAGACATTGATGACTTTGAGTACAATTAGGATATTTGTAGGCTGAAGACATTAATGTTTTCAAACACAATAATGATACACATGAACTGGAGACATTTATATCTTCAAATACAATTAGGATATACACTCCCTGGACAAAAGTATTTGATCACGTGTTTACACTAATTAGTAAAAAACCTACATAAAAACATCACACGAAATTTATAACATTATGCACCTAGGTTTTAATAAATATATATTCGAAATTTCACGTCGCTAGCTTTCATGTATCAAATTTAATTAAAAATTTTCAAAAAAGTTTTTTTTCATGATCGCCCAAAATTGAAATTATTTATTAAATAAAAATTCAATATCTTGTTGGCCAGCCATTGTTAGAAATACATGCTTCTATTCTTCTTGGCATGCTTTCAATAAGTTTGTTTAATTTTTCGAATGGAATTTGGGTCCATTATTCTTTCAATACAACTTCCAATTCTGACACATTTTTACAATGACTGCTTCTCTTTTTCAACTGTCTTTCCAACTCATCCCAAAGATGTTCAATAGGGTTGAGATCGGGGGATTGTGAAGGCCAATTTGATAATATTTCTATATTGTTTTCTACAATCCAATTTTGAACAGCTTTTGCGGTGTGAACTGGGGTGTTGTCATCTTGGAAATAATAATTTCTATTATTAAATTCATTTTCAACTAAGGGTAACAAATTTTCTCTTAATATTTCAATATAGTCCCAACGATTAATCTTTCCATCCACCTTAACCAAAGGACCCAATCCTTTTCCAGAAAAACACCCCCAAACCATTACCCCACCACCACCGTGTTTTACTGACGGGACATGTTCTTAATATCATAACGTCTCCCGTTTTCTCTCCAGACAAGACTTGGACCATCATTTCTGAAAACATTAAATCGTGACTCATCACTCCAAATCACAGTATTCCATTTTCTGACACTCCATATTCTTTTTTCCAAACACCACCTTAATCTCTTTTCTCTTTGTTTTTCAGTCAACAGAGGTTTCACCGCAGCAACTCGTGAATAAATTCCAAGCCCATGGAGATTTCTACAAATTGTTTTTGTAGAAATCTCAACACCACTAACTTCGATGAATTTCTCCCGTATCTGGTCAGCAGAAGCACGATTATTATTTTTTACTACTTTTTTTAATTTTTTCTGATCATCTTTGTCTAAAATTTTGGGTCTTCCACTTCGTGGTGCACTTTTTAGCTCACCAGAATAATGAGTGATTGTATACTGGACAGTGCTATATGGAATTTTCATAATCTTAGAAATTTTTCTTATAGAAGCTCCACTTAAATTAAAACCCAAAATTTTACTTCTTTCAACTACTGTTAATTCCGAATTTTTTACTTTTGTCATCTTAAAAAATTTTAAAGATTATCAATTTTTCGTTGATCGCGAATTCAGATGTTATTACTATTTTTTTAACCACTAATTTTCTAGACATGATAGAAACACGAAATTTCATATATTTATTCTTCAAAACAATATCCCTCATTTATGTAAAATTTACAAATTTTTATTATGTAGATTTTTAAAAAACATGAAAATATAGCAAAATGTTTAAATTTTTTATTTGGATTTTAGTTTTTTATTATTAATCTTGATACTTGGAAGCTAGCAACGTGAAATTTCGAATATATATTTATCAAAATCTAGATGCATAATGTTATAAATTTCGTGTGATGTTATTATGTAGGTTTTTTATTAATTAGTGTAAACACGTGATCAAATACTTTTGTCCAGGTAGTGTATGTAAGCTGAAGACATTAATGTCTTCAAATAAAAACAATGATACACATGAGTTGGAGACATTGATGTCTTCAAACACAAATGATGATACACATGAGTTGGAGACATTTATGTCTTTGAACACAATAATAATAATGATACACATGAGCCGAAGACATTGGTGTCTTCAAACACAATAATGATACACATGATCCAGAGACATTGATGTCTTCAAACACAATAATGATACACATGAGCCAGAGACATTGATGTCTTCAAACACAATAAGAATGCACATGAGCTGGAGACATTGATGTCTTTGAACACAATAATGATATACATGAGCTGGAGACATTGATGTCTTCAAACCAGTGTAGGAAATTGAGTGTGTGGGATTGTATATTAAAAATGCGCATATTTGTTGATCACAACCAAAAAAAATTTTTATTGATATCAAGTAAATAAATAAAATAAAAATTATTATCTTCTTTCTTTTTTATTTGTCTAATGTTCATATGCTTTTCAAAATTACAATCTTGAATATCTGGGCCATTTAATAAAATCATTAAATGATTATTCAATGTATCTACTGTGAGATCAAAATTCTGCATCTCACACAAACCTCTTGGATTTAGTTAAACTAATATTTATTTCATTTTATGGTAGTATCTAGGGGTATGGGGGGACAACTCAATGTAACACATATAGATTTGTCAATTTCAAAACTGTCACCCTATATGAAATTCATAGTGTTTATTAGTAAATAAAAATAAAACGTGAAACACATACATATTGTACACCAAGAATTCACAAATTAACCCTAGTTAAAATTTTCATACTTGTAAGAAAAAACCTTCAGCTTTCTTTTGATATAAATTTTTTCAAAGTATCTTTCCTAAAGCTTCAAAAAAATACCATCGGTTGTAAAAAAAAATTTTTCTTTGTATTTTCAACATTACACTTATTATTTACAAGCTTTTATATATGTATATACAACTTTAAACAGTATAAACTTGTTTTAATCTCGGGAATTTGGTTTTCTTTATTAATATTAATAAAAAATAATGAATAAAAAATAAAAATATTTATTTTTGAAGTGCATTCTGCTTCATATTGATCGATTATTAATAAAGGAAGCTATTTATTATGACTTTGTGTATACATACATTTTATAAAGGATTCATATCCAACTACGTTGGATGTTTGACCATCCTAAACCAATGTTGCAATTTAAAAATAATGCTACGCATATGTTTTTTCAATAACAAATTATCATACACAAATTTTTCACCAACATTCACATCATTTTGAACAGTATCAGAAGATTTTTTGTTATAAGGTTTATTTAAAATACATAATAATATATACATCTTATATGTAAATTTAATTTT